TATATATGGACATTTCAGAGAAGTCTAGGACTCAAATCCTCTCAGTAATTGTAAACAACGATCGACGGATGAGTCAATTTGCCAGCGGTGTAGAGTAGGTGTTCTGCGTTTTAATGCAACTTCAACTCATTTTTCACTTCGTGATGCATCTGTCCAACGGCACCCCAACTTAAAAGTTCATTGGCTATTACGAAGAAAAAAAGTTCGCACAAAATATGCCGTTCTAAAAGGAAATTAAAACCCCGTATTTCTTTTTAAAGGTCAGTATTTGAAAACATTTTTTAAATTTTATATTCTGTTGCTGATCAACAGTACTTTTTAAATTTTCAATTTTGTATTTTGGTAACACTTCAGAATGCTTTTCCAATTCTTTATATGTGACGTGTTGATACCTCAGGATATTTTTTTGCTTTTTTAACTCATCGTACGCGAAAATCTCACGTTATTTTTCTAAAATTTCTGTTTCCTATTCAGGTGGTACCCCAGGCGGCTTTTTTGAACTTTGCACCTTGTGCAAAAAGAGTTCCTTAGAGATCCATCTAAGTTTTTTTATTTTTTAACAAATGAATCTATTGTGGTACTTTTTGAACTTTCCATTTCGTAATCAGCCAGCCAGTGAGTCAGATGACTTTTTCAGTTTCTGTTCCTTTACGGTACCGCAGTGCTCTAGTGTTTTTTTCATCAAGTATTTCACTGTTTTAAATATTTCACCTTGTAGTGGGCCGATACCGCAAAATAACGGCACCTCAAGGTAGCTTTTTTGACCCATTGTACATCAATATCTCAAGCCATTTTTCTAAGTCTTGCATTTTATAGTAACCCAGTCTCTCAAAGAACTCTTTTAAATTTTTATTTTGCAATGCCTCGATACCAGAAGCTGCCAGTCTTCAATGTGTAGTTCCTTGCCACTGGAAAAAAAGCATATTTGAAGTTACCCAAAACTAAAAATTTTTAATCTTAACTACTTAGAAGCGTAAGAGTTCAAAATAAAGTAGAACAAGAGAAAGGTAGTTTTTAAGCCCAAACTCAACATGTGGAACGCAGTAGAAAGCATAGTCAAAGTTTTGAACTACGTCTTAAACAGTTTTATGCTGTACAGCACTTCAGGAAACTCACAGCTGTTTTTTGCTTTCGACCAATAACTATTGGAATTTCTCGCAAAAAATGACAGCTTTTTGCTGAAAAATACATATGACAATTGATGCCTACAAAAATTTTTTCAAAATCTGAGGATAACAATAACTTCCGTCCGTAGCTCTCAATCCAGTATGACTTTCCCACCTTCTGTACACTGTGCTAAAAATCAATTTCGATCTTCAGAATTACTGATCCGGAATAATAGCGCTCATTCTAGTGACACTCCGCTACCGCCAGATTCTCTTATCGACTGCCCGTGCTTTTTGACCTAGACAATCGGCTTCCCTCCATTTTGTTATACTGCAATTTTGCTAATAATCCACAAGAATTACACACAGAGATACGTGAAAAACGGATACATTTAAAGCGCGATAAAAGTTTTTTAGCTTTTCAACCAGAAGTCCTAATGAGACGTTCTATGTTAGTGCAGAGCACTTGCAGTTGCAGTCATTCGCTAAAGTACACACAATGAAATAAAAAAGATTAGAATTAGCCAATCTGATAAGCAGTCAATTTCTTGACAGCTACCTCAAAACCACCGTCATGTTTACACATAAAGTTTTTAAACTGGTAAACTTTTTATTTAGGGAACTAACAGGTTGCATTAAGGGTATATACAAAAGAAGAGCCGTTAATTCTTCCTGTTGTTATTTCAACGGCCAGTTATCAATTTTTTGTGGTTATTTCTGCAACACTTTGCTTCTGATTCCTTCTGGTTTTTTCTTGCACTGTCAATCTTACCAATCCAAAAGCACCGTTACTCTTACACATAAAGGTTTCTTTTTTAATAAATCTTTTTGAATTCCTACACAGTTCTTTTCCTTAAAATAACCCTTCTTATTATAATAACTGTACTTTCTTAGCAAATGAATGCAGCTACAAATCTTTACGCTAACCAAATAGACCTTCGGGGCTTCTGAATAAAAATCTTTGCCGACATGTCGAAAGAATTTTTTTTCCTGTAATTCTGTAGGTCTAATCCCACCAACAAAATAGCACTGAAACGATGTGAACACGCACGGAAGTCGTTTGCCCAGCCGTTGATGCTCAGACGGTCACAGGGTTGGTTGGCTCCGCTCCGTTCTCTCTGTGAAAGTTTACTTTTGAAAATACACGGAGAAGAAACCCTTCACCGAAACGAGTTCGTAAAACCATTTATCCATCCTTTTGCCCCAAATTCCTAGGCGGAGCCCCTGTGTACCTTAGCTGAAAGTGATGCAAAGGTGCGTAACATGGGCTCTGCCGCACCTATTGTATGAACTCCACTAAATATCGCGAGTCGCGGCAGCTCCCAATACTACACTGTCACCACCTCACTCAGACATCTGAAGTCCTGTGAGCGAGGCGGATTGCTACCCACCCACTGAATGCTCGTCAGTTTCTCGCGCAACTAGCCTACAAATGCAATCTAGAACTGCGAAATCAAAAAAAAAAAAAAAAAAAAAG